TAATTTCCGTATTCTTACGCAGGAATAACGAATTCGGTATTCTCACTGAAATTGTGATTCTTTCCTGTGTGCGTGTGCCCTGTTGCATCCACGCAAATCTGCCTCTCAGGCCAACGCCATTGCCGCGAGTCAGAATTACACGTGCACACCTCCCTCTCTTCAGCGTGCTCTCGCTCTCAATGTGCCCCTTCATTCCCACCACACCCTGGTGCGTGTTATGATTTGATGGATGTGGCCTTTGCCCTTGTCTTGCTTTAGCAAATCAGTCCATCAAAATTGGGTAACTCGTTGAAGAGGCTACTGCCCCTCATACTTACACTCAACTTTCTTGCTTTTGCTCGTGTTTTCCCCCCACCGCAGTCTTCTGTTGTGGAACCTTTGTTTGTGTTGTATTTCACCATTGCAACACTCGTGGTGTTGATGTGGTGGATGGGCTTGACCCGCGCGCAAGTCAGAGCATGGGTGCATCAGAAGGGCTTGGCTGTGACGGCTGGGCTGATGAAGCTGAAGAGTGCAACCAAGTGCCTCCTGGTATGCCATGCACTCTGCCCTCCTCCACTCATCCTCCATGTGCTCTGGTATGGTTGTCTTAGTGCCAATCTCGTATCGTCCTCCCTTCCAAGCTCACTACTAGACGCCCTCAAGCGAGTCTTTCCCCGTCTCTTGCTCCCTGCTTTTACGTGTGCTGCTAAGGATGCGGTGAAAGTGCAAATATCGCAGGATCGTCTGAATATATCGATCCCCACAATTGAGTGGGCAGATCGATTGGCGAAATGTGGCGACCTCGACATTGTAATGATCGCAGCTGTGAATTGACAGATCTCCCGTGATCAGTGATCAGTCGCATTCACACAGTGTACAGAAATCTTGGCCAGAAAGCGTACTGTAGCATGGTTACATCGTAGTAAATAGGGTAACCGAGCCGCACATCGCTCGTGACTGACAATGGATCGTCTACTTTCGCCGCGTCCCAAACGTTACATCTCTCCATCACCTCTCAGCATGCATCGTCTCCCATCGTTCTCCGATCACCATTCATCCTCCTTCCCTTCCTTTTCTGCAGAAACGTGGTCTCGTCCCTCTGCTGCACATCCCCATGTGAGCATGTCCCACCTCCTCAACGTAAAATCGCCTACTAGGTCCCATTTTTTGTATCAACATCCTCCTCATGAACAGGTTTTCCTGCCTCACCTCATCCTCATGTCCGTTTAATTGTGAATTTAACACTGTTGATCGTAGTCTCAATGTAGACTTTATGCCCTGCATTTTCTGCCCAGATGTTTCTGATTCTAAACTTGTCTCCTTGAAGCATGCACTGATCTCATTCTTAGTTCTTTGCGTTGTATCTTTCTCTTTTCCGAACCTGTTATTCACGATTTTATATTTCCAATCAATCAATAATTTCCCAACAAACAGCACTTGGCTGCAAATTTCCCCGATTGTGAATATTTATCTCTGCTCATTTTTACCTGCTTGCAAGCACTGCTTCAATCTTGCTGCCATGGAATCCCACGTGCTGCCTTGCGTAGGAAGTTTGCCAGATTATCTCCGTAACCTCAAATTTCCATGCCTGTTACGTGGTGCACCTTTGTCCTACCATAGCAGGAAGCATGCCTGTTCCGGGATGGAGAGAGTGGTGAAGGCTGTTGGGACTGTTATGGGGAGAATGGCCGGAATGCACGAGTTGAAAGGGGCGATAGAGATGAGAATGGGGGCGCTTGGCGCGCAGCTGGAAGAGACAAGGAGGGAGTTGGCAGCAGCCAGGGGGGAGGTTACTGCAGTGAAAGGGGGGTTTGTTGCCGTGCAAGGTGAGACGGAGGTGGGAATGAGGGCGCTTGGCGCGCAGCTGGAAGAGACAAGAAGGGAGTTGGAGGAAACGAGAATTGAGTTGGCAAGGGAGAGGGAGGAAAGGAGGAGGGAGGTGCAGGAGTCGGATTGGCCGCATGCCATGAAGAAATTTGCAGCTTTGAAGGAATGGCAGAGGATTCAAGACAGGAAGCTGAATCTTGACCTGGAAATCAGGCAGAGTGAAGGAGATCGGAAGAAGGCATTGGATGTGAGTGCCGAGTTACTGCTTCACTTCACATCACACACAGGGTATGCATGCTTGGTATCTCCTGTAACTGTCTGTGACCATCCCTGTCCTGAACGGACTCTCCCAAACATGCTCACTCCAGGCAATCAAGTCAGCATCACACAAGACAAGTCTGAGCCTGAGCCTGAGTGGTCTCCATGGCGTATCTGATGAGATCCTCGCGCATGTGTCCACTATGACCTATTTGAAGAACCTTGACTTGCACTTTAGCTCAGGCTTCAGTGCAGAGGGCATCAAGCACCTCTACAGGCTGCCACAGCTGGAGATGCTAGAGCTCAGAGACACAGACGTATCAGACAGTGCCTTGGAAGGAATCGAGTCCGCGGTTAGTCTCAAGACCCTCTATCTCAAGTCTACAAAGGTGACTGATGCTGGTTTGTTACAGTTGTCAAAGCTTTCCTCTCTTAAAGCGCTGGGGCTTGGTCAATGCAAGGGGTGGACAAATGCTGGCATGGCACATGTGGGGAGGCTGACAAGGCTTGAGGAACTCTCGTTGGGTGGCACGGCAGTCACGGAGGATGGGCTGAAGCAGCTGAGTGCCCTGACCAAGCTGGCATTTCTCTGCCTGCCAAGCGGGAGTTCTGCACGTGGTGATGAAGTACGCAGACACATAGGCAGGTAGGATGCTGTCGATGATGGTGGGGAGGGAGACGAAGGGAGGGGGGTAATGGCAAGGTGTGTGAAGTGCAGTTGGACGAGGTGGTGGTGCTGCAAAGCTTGGCATGTACAGAGCCTAGAGAATGAGACCATGTGAACCTGCCTAGCTAGGCAAGGTAGCAGCTGCTCATTTGAAAAGTGTAGATGCTATAATCGATAAATACGTTTTTCAGCATAGAATTTTAATTCAGAAGAGGCTTTCAATTGGAAATTGTGGTGGCAAGGCATGCTGCCTGCGACAGAGGGATGCTGCTTGGCTGGCTTGCTGGGGAGGGATGATGGTAAGAAGGCCGAAAAGGTGAAGCTAGAGACGAGAGGGGAGTCTACGTAGGAGAGATCCTGAGGCAAGGCGGTCGGGCAAGGGGTGTGAACAGTGGTGCACCATGCATATTTCATCGAGTAGGAAAGACAAAGTGAGGAGGCTGTATCGAAGAATACGGCTTGAGAGCAGTGCTTGTTAAATAAACTTGATGAACCTTTTTAGACAATGTATGGCTTGATCTTTGCAACTTTCTGCCAGATTGTGAAACGCTTTAGACATGCAGTTGGTTTTACTTTCTCCGTCACATTGATTCTCTACAGAAGGATCTCAACCACCCCCCTCTCCCCCTAAATCCTGCCCCCTTCCCCAGGACCTGTTTTTCGCTTTTCCCTCCTCTCCTGTCCAAACACCCACCTCCTCTTCTCATGCTACCTTCCACCCCCATTCTCCCCCATACCCCCCTCTCCTCCTCCATTACCTCCCCCACTCCCCTTCTCCATTCGCCCCCTAAGAAATAGTTTTCATTCCAAGCCAGCAGCGTCCGTCACTTTTCTACTAGTCAATGCGAGCTCCTCCAAAGAACTAGCAGCTGAAATGTCAGTCATAGAGCCACCATGGTGGGTGGGGAGGGATGATGAAGCTGCGCATTGGGTGACGGGTGACATCATGACAGGTGCGGCACGTCTTTTTCCCATGTCCTTGCCCCTCTGCCTCTCCTCTCGTTCTCTCTCCCTCTCATCTCCCTCTTCCCCTCTCCCTTTCCCCCCCCCCCCCCCCCCCATCCCCCCCCCCCCCCCCCCCCCCCCCTTCTTTCCCCTCTCCCTGTACCATTTTCTAATACCCAACATCGGTAACTATTCCATTCGCCCATGCCTTCATTCTGTCACGCCATGCCCCTTCGCGCGTCATCCTATGCATGAATCAAGCATCCCTTTCTTCACAGATATACTCCTTTTTCCGCCATCACCCTTCCATCTGCTCCCCACAGTCTCATCCCAGCATCAGTTTCTCCAACAGTTTCTCTCACCTCTCTGACCCCGCCTTCCATTGCCACTTTCTCCTATCTCTATCTCTCCTCGTGTGCTTCAGATGTATGCAACCTCATCAGTCATCTTGTTGCTTGATTTCTCTTGATATTTTTAGAGGCAGACAGCTCACCACAGATGGGCGAAGAAAGGGAGGAAGGACATGAAGGTGAGAAGCAGGAGGGTGCAGTGGTTATGCCCCCATGCCCCATTTTCTCATTTCTTGTGAAGATATGCTTCCATGCTCCACGATCCCATGCTAACTTGAGTTGGTGCTGGTATGCTCCCATACTCCCATGCTCACGTTCTTTCATATTTCCATGATCCCATCTGTCCATGCTCCTATGCTCCATGCTCTCCCAGTCTCCTATGAACCAATGCCTTCATGCTCCCACAATCTTATTCCCCCACTCTCCCACTTTCCCATTCTCCCGATCTCCCACTCCAATGCTTCCATTCTCCCATGCGCACACGGCCCGATCTCCCATTCACTTATGCACCCATGCCCCCATGCTTCATTTATTTTCCTACCCCCTTCCTCTCACATCCCTATCCCCTCTTTTCCACTACATTCCTCCGTCCCTTCCTACCTCTCCTCTCGTCCTCTTGCTTCTCCCAATCCACACTCCTTTCTTCTAGCAGCCTTTTTCCTTCCCTCACTGTCATATCCCTCTTTTTCCTCGACCCTACCATTTTCTTATGCCCAACATTTACTGCCACCCTATTCATTGGGTCATGCTCCTACCCGTCACACCACGCCCCTTCATTCTTCACCATGTGCACCGCCGTGGTTGAGCACTCCAGCAGGGAAAAATACTGTTGGGACACCTGTGCACATGCACCTTATCCCATACCTCATTCCACACCACATCACATCGCACACCTCATCTTACACCCCTACCAATACATGCCCGATTCCCTAACACACATGCCACTGACTGTCGTTTGAATTTCTTCTGATTCACTGCACCCCATTCCATACCTCATCCAGCACCTCATCCAACACCTCATCCCATTCCTCATCCCATACCTCATCCCATACCTCATCCCATACCTCATCCCATACCTCATCCCTCACCTCATCCCATACCTCATCCCACACCTCATCCCATACCTCATCCCACACCTCATCCCATACCTCATCACACACACTCTTCTTATACCATATCCCATACATCACACAACTTAACCCGCATCTCATCCCATTCCTCATCGCATGTTATGCTTCTACTGCTATCCTGTTTCTGAATCAGTTTCGCTTCCCTCAGTCCTTTCTCTTTCTTGCAGTGTCACAGGATAATCCCCTCGAGCATAGAGTGGTGCAGATGAGTGCCACACAGCAGCAGAAACCAGCCAGAGGGGATGCACTGAGTGGGGGGAGTGTGGCTGTAGTGAGGAGGTGTAGTTTTATCAGATTATGTCATGTACCGTATACGGTGTCAGGAATTTCATGTGTCAGTGTATTATGAAGCAGAACAAGGCACTGCAAGAGCTGCGAGAGGGCGCTCGTCGGCCCATCCCGCTCGTCGCGAACCCAGTCTCAGTCCACCCAGCAAAGAAGTACCAGAACCACATGAAATCTTTCATCTCCTACCGTACTTGCCTCTGGCATGCCAGTAAAAATGCCATGTGGATGGGTGATGCAACAGCGTGTCTGACCTGTACCCTTTTCCACACAGGTACAGGACCGCTATTGCTTCACCGCTGCCCTTCTCATATGGATCATTCCCTGCAGTCCAGCTTAGCTACCAGAATGGCATCTAGCAAGACTGGAACAGTCTAAATTTGACAAAATAGGGGCAACCGTAAACATCAGGCTAGAGAGACTACTGTAAACACCCAGATTTACCACCAACCGAAGCGCTTCAAACAAATATACCATCCAGAGAGACCACCGTAATCACCCATATCTACAAGCAGTGGCGAGTGGACGTTGATGGTGATGGCCAATGGTGAAGGCCGGGTATGAGTACCTCTTTGCACATCATGAGCGATTCAGGCCTGCCCAGGGCAAGGGTGAGTGAGTGAGGGGGGGAGAGAACAGCATGCAGTGAAGAGGTGAGAAATGCGAGTCAGGAGTGCCAGCAGTGGGAGAAGGGGTGAGCGGACAGGGGAGAGAGATGGGCCAACCATGACATATGCATACACAAACACATACTCATATACATCCATGCATACGCATACGGACACGCATATGCATATGCTTACGCATACCCTGGCTGGAAAGAGTATGTGAGGGGAGGTGGGACAGAAACAACACCTCCTGTACCACCGGGTATGTTAAGGGCTAGAATCGTGACAATTTGCATGGCATCTCAAGGCGTGGCACCAATCGCATGGCATCACTTCGATCTTGCCAATGCGAATCTGTGAGGCTGGCACATTGGAATTCCTGGCATGTACATTGCTGCTTTGAGTCGACCCTGAGTCCACCACCCGCCTGTCCCTCCCTCCGTCACTTCACCTCCTTCCTGTCACTCACATGCCCACTCACCTTGTCACTGTTCTTCCCACTCCTCTTCCCGTTGCTCCTGCCGGGGCATGTGAGCTTGTGGGAGGGCCAGTGCGCCTTTTGGCACTCTCTGCTGCAATACTTCAATTTGCCACACCCACCGCAGCTTCTCAGCTTCCCACCGCCACCCTCCGCCCTCCCACACCCCCCAGCACCGCACACACGCCCCCCCGTAGACAGGGGACCAGAGCCTTCAGCATTAGACGCGTGTCTTGCTATAACGGCTCCTGCAACGCTTGGTGCAGCAACAGGGATTGCAGCATCGGACGAAGGTGTTGCTGTGGGAGCATTTCCTGAAGCAGCAGTTGACGATGCAGCACGTGTGGAAGGGGCAGCAGGGACGGAAGGGGCAGCAGGGAAGGCAGGGCGGTAGCACGGCTCCCCCAACAACATCTCTCGCAGACATGCAAGCAGATTGACCCCCCCCGGCCATGCTTTCAGATAAGCCGGCTCTTCCTCGTCCTCCTCCTTGCCCTTCTTCTCACCAATGCTGCCGCCGCTGCTGCTGGCCTTGCTGCTTCCCCTCTGGGTGCTGCTGTTGCTGCTGCCGCATCCATTTCGCAGACCCACCCTGGCAATCTTCGTAATGCCTCGGCCTGCCAGGCCCAATATATGTGCAGCTATGTTCCGACGCATAAGCCGGCCAAGCATACATTGCCATATTGCACCACAGCCAAACCTCGTCCCACACCTCCGGATCATCCCACGAAGTCCGTTCCCTACCTTCGTCATTCCCACCAGTTCCTCTGCTTCCCAGCCTCCCTTCTCCACCCCTCCCGTTCGACCAAGCGCCTCTCTCAATAGGCCTCCCGTCCTTGTCTACCCCACGAGGAGCCACCATTGGTTCATGCCACTTCACAGCAATCGCAAGCAGCAGAGTGAGTGGCATGTGCTCTGCCAGTTGGCGCATCCACCCCAGGGCCTCCAGTTGGGCCGACCGAGTCACTCCCATCTCCACGCGGAAGGCGCCGGCTAGGGTGCGGACTTCTTGAAGCGGATGAAGAGGATGGAGACGGGGCGGTAGGCGAAGTTGGCAATGAAGTGACCAAGGAGATCTGGGAGGTGTACAGGTGCACGCATCTTCTGCACTGCGAGCATGAGGGCGGGGTGATTCTGCTAGCAGCAACCTCCAGAATATGATTCACGTCTGCCATGCAGCGAACAATGGGATGACGGCTTGAGGTAAGCAGATGCGAAGGAGCGGGAGTGGGGTGATCGTTGCTGCGTTCCACACGCACCGTGTTCCTCCCAACCCTCCTATTACCTCCGGCCATTGACGACGGACCAGAGGGCCTTCCCTTGACTGCTTCTGCTGTCCCATTCTCCTCCACAATCCCCTTGCCAAAAAAACTCTCTTTCCAGTCATCAGGAAGCTTCACAGCAGCTTCATCGCCCTGAGGCCACTCCTCCCACTCCATGGGGAAGCTCCTTCCCTCCATAGGCTTGGGGACGTTGCCAAATCTGAGAAGCAGGCTTGGAAGGTCCCGTAGCGGATGTCGCATGGGCAGGACCTTGCCCTGTGGGCTGTCCTTGAAGCATCTATTCGGTGAAATGAAATCTGAGCCGTAGATTCGGACCCACTGCAAGATGCAAGCAGCTCGGTATGTGAAAACAGCAACACCAGGGTGGGTGTTGACCGGCACGAGGCCAGAGCTGGTAGACGCATCTCCACTAGACCAGCACCACAGCCGTCTTTCCCCTTGGATGCTCCAACAAGATTTCGGGTCTTTTCTCTTCCTCCATCACTCGCACTAGCGTCTCTCTTTGCCTTTTGTGGCTCGTCTTCCTCCTCATCGCTGCTGAATTCGATGTGCTGCCACTTGCTGTAGTCGATTCCACGTGCCCTGGTGACAGCAGCAGGTGCCGACCCAGTAACAGGAGGAGGAGAGGCTATAGCGAAAACAGCAGGAGGTGTAGCGGCAGCAGAAGGAGGAACAGCCGCAGCAGGTGTGACAATCGGAGCAGAAAGAGCAGCCGCCGCAGCAGGCCCAGCAGCAGTAGCAGTTGCTGCAGCGGAGCAATCAGAAGGAGGAGGAGCAGCAGGCGCAGAAGTAGGGCCCATCACACTCTCTTCGGCTTTACCCTTACCCTTACTACTACTACCTAGTCCGTCTCCATGATCCAGAATCTTCACAGGAAGCACCTTGACAATCGAGCCCGATTTCAGCCTCGCTTGCTCAACAGTGGAGTCAGGAGAAAGGTACGCCACCTGCCCTAGCACCATAAATCGGACCGCCTGCGTCCCACGCGCCGAGTCATTCTCCTTAGCAGCTTCCCCGCCATCGTTTTCTAACTGCGCTGCACGTGCGTCGCGTGAAAGTTCCTCGGTTCCTCGCGGTGCCAAGCGTGCATCGCGCGGCAGGCAACAGTCGGGCAGGTGCGAGCGGAAAAGTCGGTTGAAGACCGATCGGAGAGGCTCCTCTGGAGAGGCAGCGACGCTGACGTCCACGTGGGATGATGCCGATGGTGTGTCGCCGCGTCGGCCATCATTGGATCGTGAGTCGATGTTATGATGGCCGTCGGATCTGCGATGAACCAACACTTTGGGTATTCGAAACCGAACCTCAAGAGCCATGCCTACTCTCCACAAGTAACGTTGAGCAGACTTACTATCACCAGATCGAATATCAAATGCATAAAAAATTGACGCATCATGGAGGTTCTTTGAGCGGAGGTTCGCTTGTCGCAGGTCGATGATCGCGAGCTGAATAAGGCGCGCTGAACGCGACAGGCAGCACTAAGACCAACATCGGTTCGAGGCGAAGGGCTGAAAGCGTAAGGGTCTCCCTAAGAGAGGTTGATGGGTCCCGAAGCGCGCTGCGACTCCGTTGAATCTTGCACGGCAATGGAATACGGTAAAACGGTCAGTTCTCGAACCTGCGAGCGGCGACATCGCCTTCACGGCGTGCTAGGAGATTGGAGCGTCGTTTGGATCCAGACCCAGCGTGCGACGCGCTCACACCACATGCATAATTCCACCCTCGCCTGCCCACTCGAATCGGGCCGAAGTTGGGCCTCTTCTTCCGAAGCCCAGGGTCCGAACCCAGCCGATGCCTTCGGCGTCGTACCCCCAGCAAACGAAGCAGGCCCAGGCTGGCACTGGGGCACGCGGCCAACCACTTAGGACGTGGGCCCAATCGACTTTCATCGGTGTCAGAATATGTTGTTTGTGTAGCCTGCAGTGGGGTACTCAATAGTGAGTACAGCCCCTTAGGGTTTGCTATTTGTATCCTGCTGCTTGCTAGTTCAATCATCCCTCCTCATTTCTGCTCGTGCACACAACTCTCGCTCTTACTTGGCGCCTCGTTCCTAGTCCTACTGTGGCCTAGGCTACTAAGCCTAGGCCCCACTCCTAGTATTTTGACATGGTATCAGAGGGCGGCGTGTCCCTGCCGCCTTCCTGTATGGGCCCACCACCCGCTTCCGCTGCCGTACTGTCCGCCGCGCGCCCCGTGGTGCGCGGCGGCGAAACCCTAATTTCTGCCCGCCGCGCGCTCGGGGCGCCTGGCGGTTTTCCCTTCCGTGGCGCCCGTCGTGGTGCCCTTGGGGGGGCCTCCGCGGTCCCCTCCCGTCGACGCGCCCGTCGAGGCGCTCTCGGGGACCCACGCGGCCTCCCCTCCCGTCGCCCGTCGAGGGGACCTCGGGGACCCGCGCGGCCTCCCCTCCCATCGCCCGTCGAGGCGACCTTGGGGGCCCGCGCGGCCTCCCCACCAGTCGCCCGTCGTGGCGACCACGGGGGCCGTGCGCGGTCCCCTCCCGTCGCCCGTCGAGGCGACTTCGGGAGGCCCGCGCGGCGCCCTCCCCGTCGCCCGTCGAGGCGACTTCGGGGGGCCCGCGCGGCGCCCTCCCCGTCGCCCGTCGAGGCGGCTCTGGGGGCCCGTCGCGGCGCCCTCCCTGGTGCCCGTCGCGGCGCCCCGGGGGGGGCCGCGCGGCTCCCTTCTCGTCGCCCCTCGGGGCGCCCTGGGGGCCGTGTGTTTTCCCCTCCCCCCTCCTCCTACCTTCACCTGCAGCGGCCGCCCCTGGAGCCCCCCCTGGAGCAGCCCGTGCCTGCAGCAGCCGCCCCTGGAGCAGCCCGTGCCTGCAGCAGCCGCCCCTGGAGCAGCCCGTGCCTGCAGCAGCCGCCCCTGGAGCAGCCCGTGCCTGCAGCAGCCGCCCCTGGAGCAGCCCGCACCTGCAGCAGCTCGCGGCCCGTCCCCCCCCCCCCCCCGTGCTGCCCATTGCTCCCATTCCGCCGTGCGTTCCGCGGTGGTGGGGGTGTGGGGTGGCGAGCATGGGTTCTCCCCTCCTCCTTTTTCGTCTCCCACTGCTGCAGCTGCCGCTGAGGGGGGTGGAGGTGTGGGATTCGTGGGGGGGGTGATGTGGGAGTGGAGCTAGGGGTGAAGCAGTGGGTGTGTGAGAGAGGTGTGGGACTGTTGGGGGAGGTTGAGTGGAGGCAGCCGTCGTGTCGTCCGCAGCGCCTGTATTCCGGGGCCCTTGTCGCCGGTAGCTCAGAGAGCCTGCTGCACCTGTTGCCCGTGGGTCCGTTGCTCCTGCCGCTCGTCGCAGCCGCAGAGCCTGTTACTCCTGTATTCCGGGGCCCTTGTCACCGGTAGCTCAGAGAGCCTGCTGCACCAGTCGCCCGTGGGTCCGTTGCTTCTGCCGCTCGTCGTAGCCGCAGAGCCAGTTACTCCAGTATTCCGGGGCGCTCTGTCTCGGTAGCCACTGTGTCAGCCGCCACTGTGTCAGCCGCTTCTGTTGCCCGTGTGTCTGCAGCTTCAGTCGTCGCCTCCCATCTTCTCTCCTCTCACAGTCCCGCCTTCTCCTCACTTGCCCGCTGTGACTACCACTAGCTTTGCTCATATTTATGAACTATTGCTATGACTGCTCATTGTGCTGATTACACCCCACTTTGGCTATGGGGGTGTGTCAGAATATGTTGTTTGTGTAGCCTGCAGTGGGGTACTCAATAGTGAGTACAGCCCCTTAGGGTTTGCTATTTGTATCCTGCTGCTTGCTAGTTCAATCATCCCTCCTCATTTCTGCTCGTGCACACAACTCTCGCTCGTACTTGGTGCCTCGTTCCTAGTCCTACTGTGGCCTAGGCTACTAAGCCTAGGCCCCACTCCTAGTATTTTGACAATCGGCGCGATCAGAGGCGATCAAAAATTTCGAGGAAGGCGGGAAGCAGATTCTAGGCAATCGGGGGCAATCAGCTGATCGCGATCAGCTGATCGCTCCAACTCGATCAACCGCCTCAAACAGCCCGATCAGACCCGATCAGACACAATCAGACCCAATCACTTGATTGCATGTGATCAGGCACCTGGGCGATGTACGCAAAATGTAACACGCCTCGCCATGGGGTCTCGAAAATCCTTGCGAATACACCCAGATCGGCGAGAAATGCATGCCATGGCGACATTACCACGATACTGAGATTCGTCAGTCTCGCCAAAGTTGGCCTGCAACTACCAGGTAATGGGCCGAGAGTTTTCATGCAAGAGCGCGAAACATTCGAGGAAAATCATCTCTGATCGGGCAGAGCGGGGAAAACGATCAGAAGCAATTCGATCCGATCCAACCCGATCCGATCAGAGCCGATCAAAGTCGATTGGGCCCACGTCCTTAGCGGGATTTCGGAGGGCCGACCCTTCGGCCCGGCCTGGGGCGCCGAGGCTTGAACCACACGTGAAAAGCAGGCTGACTCAGCAGTGGGGACAACACCAGTGATTCCCGTGTGATGTCCCCGTTACAGAAGAAAGTAAAAGGTGAATATTCTAAAATCATAACAAAAAGTGCCTCAGCATCTCATAAAGATCGCCCCCCGCTCTCAAAATTCTACCCCGAAATGATTTCACAGGTTGTAAACGCGAACCGATTGTGTTCACGAAAATACTTTTCGCCCTGAGTGTCAGGGTACATTCCTGGCGCGTGTCACACTTCCGGCCAAACTTCGTGTTTTCCGAGCCAGGGGCAAATTTTTTAGGGAAGACCCGAAGTGGGGCGAGCTGTGGGGCGAGCTTCGTGTCATCCCGGGAACACCGGTAGTTTGACACTGGCCAGGAACGTACCCTCAGCCATGATGCCGCGCCTCTTTCCACCAAACGAAAAAGTACTGGGCTTGCATTCAGTGGCGGGATTTTTTCCCTGCGCCCGAGTTTGTGTCCACCCCCGAAATCTCCACACCCGAAATCCAGCAAACTGTTTGCGCCCAGGTATTCGCAGGGTGTTTGCCCCGGAATTCGCGGAAAACGCATTTCTCGCGGGTTTCCGCGGTTTGAGAAAGAATTTTAGGGGAGGAATTTTCGCCTGCTGATCTGGCTCTCTGTGGTGTTTCCGCGTCATCCCGAGTGTCCGAAGGTACCTACGCACGAAAAAATGTGCGGACGTAGTGAGAATGAAACCAATTTCCAAGGGTTCGCTCGCTCGAATTGCAGGACACTCGGAAAACTTCAGTTCGTGGAACGGACTAAGAACGTAGTAAAGTCCGACCAGAAACGTTCTAAAACGTACTGTATCGTATATTAAATTTGCGTTACACAAATGGACTGTGTCAGAATGTTATATTGTCTAGCCTGCAGTGGGGTACTTTATAGCGAGTACAACCCAATCTAGGGTTTGCTATTTGTACTCAACTGCCTGCTAGTTCAAACCTCTCTTTCCTGTTTCTCGTTTTGCCTAACTATCTTGACATGCTATCAGAGCAGGTCGACCCTCCTGGGTCGATCCTGTGGGTGGGCCCACCACCTAAGCCTTCCGCTGCTACTGCTACTGCTACTCTGTGTGTCGCACGCCCCGTGGCGTGCGACGGATTTTTTATCCCGCCGTGCGCCCCGAGGTGCGCGGCGGTTTTCTGCCCGCCGTGCGCCCCGTGGCGCGCGGCGGTTTCCTGCCGTGGGGAGCCCGCGCGCGCCCCGCCCGTCCGTTGCGGCGCCCTGGGGAGCACGCGAGCGCCCCGCCCGTTTGTCGCGGCGCCCTCGGGAGCCCGCGCGCGCCCCGCCCGTTCGTCGCGGCGCCCTGAGGAGCACGCGAGCGCCCCGCCCGTTCGTCGCGGCGCCCTGGGGAGCCCGCGCGCGCCCCGCTCGTTCGTCGCGGCGCCCTGGGGAGCCCGCGCGCGCCCCGCTCGTTCGTCGCGGCGCCTTGGGGAGCCCGCACGCGCCCTGCCAGTCCGTCGCGGCGCCCTGGGGAGCCGCACGCGTCCCCCCCCCCGCCAGTCTGCCGCGGCGCTCTGGGGAGCCGCGCGCGTCACTTCCCTCCCCCCGCCCCGTCCGTCCGTTTTGGCGCCCTGGGGTTGCGCGCGGTCCCCCTCTCGCCGTCCCCCGCGCTCCTACCCCGTTCCGCCCGTTTTAGGGTTTGGGGGTGGGGAGTGTGGGGGTGGCGGGTGTGGGGGTGCCGGTTGTGTGCCCCGTCCCCTCCTTCTCCTCCTCCTCCGTCTCCCGCTGCTGCAGCTGCCGCTCAGGGGGGTGGTTGTGTGGGGAGCCGAAGGAGTGGTGCTAGGGGGGTGAAGGGGGAGTGGAGCTAGGGGCGCAGCAGGGGGTGTGTGTCGAGGGGTGTGGGACTGTTGGGGGAGGTTGAGCGGAGGCCGCCGTCGTGTCGTCCGCAGCGCCTGTACTCCGGGGCACTCATTCCCGGTAGCTCAGAGAGCCGGTTGCGCCGTCGCCTGTGGGTCCGTTGCTCCTGCCGCGCATATTAGCCGCGGAGCCTGTTACTCCTGTACTCCGGGGCACTCATTCCCGGTAGCCACGTTGTCGCACCAGAGCCGTCTGTTGCCCGTGTGTCTGCAGCTTCAGTCGTCGCCTCCACTCTTCTCTCCTCTCGCCAGCCCTCCTCCTCCTCGCTTGCCCTCTGTGACTGCCTCTAGCTTTGCTCATAATTGTGAACTTTAAACTATTGCTTCTTGAACTTGTGCTCAGAATGTGTGGTGACATTGTGATCCACCCTGAGCTTGTACTGCTTTGCTTGCTCTGCTGATTACACCCCACTTTGGCTATGGGGGTGTGTCAGAATGTTATATTGTCTAGCCTGCAGTGGGGTACTCTATAGCGAGTACAGCCCAATCTAGGGTTTGCTATTTGTACTCAACTGCCTGCTAGTTCAAACCTCTCTTTCCTGTTTCTCGTTTTGCCTAACTATCTTGACAGACTGTTGTTAAACGCTTGCGTATATTTCCAAATTTTGTGGACACGCGGAATGTGATTTGGTTTGCCGGTGGTGACTTCGCCTATGAGTTGGCGGGCACTAGCCACAAATTACCCTGCAACAGCCAGCTTTCGCTCGGTGCCGCGAAAAGTTTCGCTTCACCAAAACGCATGGTGCTGTAATGAACTGTTTGCGTTGTGCTGACTCATAAGGACGTGTTGCAATTTGCGGTGCACTGCATCGGCTCGGCTCGAGGCATGGGTTCTAAAAAGCTCCATGCAAGACGAGGCCGTTTATTTTTTGCCGGAAACGCGCAAACATCATTTATGTCCTAATACAACCTTGGCAAATAACTCGATTATTCATTATCCTAAAACGTTTCTTTGCCCGGGGTTGGCCTCCCGTTTGCCTGGTCCCTTCTCCCAGTAATTTTCTAATTCCCTCAGTTTGCTCTCTCCGCCCTCTAATACCTGACTGACGGTGGTAAGAGGCATATCTGGCAAGGAGGCCCACATTGCATATTTCATGCCAGGCTGAGCTGGCCTCTTGCCTTGTGGGCATTGCTGCTCCGCCTCCTCTTGCAGCATCCTATTATGCTCCTTTTCCCCCTTGGATTTCTACCACACCTACTTGCATTGATGACTTGCGTTGATGTATTGTTATCGATTCATAAATAGGAAACGTCAATGCTTTCAATGACTTGAATAACATGTAGTACCATTGCCTGTTTCTTCTTATCTTGGATTTCTCTTCGCACTCCTCTCCTTTTCCTGCCCCGATTGTCGCCATGTCTTGAACTTTCTTCTCTTACCTCCTTTGTATGAATGGCGTTTTTACTGCTCTGCACGTTCAGCTCAATTTTATCTGACAGACGCAACACCACTTGCATACTAAACCAGCCCTCTGTGTACGTTTCCAGGTTCATCTCGTTTCATTTGTTGTGCTTCTGTTTCACTCTTCAGTCTTCAGCAACTTGTCTTTGTGCTCTCCTCGTACTATTCTTGTCCTCATGCCTCACGAGTGTGAGTGAACTTTTTGTCATCACTACTGTGCTGCTCTCTGCCCTTCACCCCACCCTGTTCCTTGATTTTCCCCCTGCTGCAACCATTTGCAGTGTGCCTGTGGAAGTACAATTACGTGTCAGATGCGTGTGTGTGTGTTCTCTCACTTCTTGATCCAAACATCAGTGATCCATGCTCCCCTTATCTTACACATTACGCCCCATCCCTCAAGACAATGCAATTGATTCTTATTGTTCGTTCACTCAGTACCAGATTCGTCCCCTTTTTTCGCATCCTACCCCACCCAGGAGTTGTCTACTTCATCATTTTGCAGTGAGGGAGGCAGTTGAACGTCAGGATTAGTATTTGAGGGAGTGTGTTTCAGGAGAGTCCACTGGTTGCTATGGCTGCTGAGAGAGCAATGGGGCCACTGATAGAAGTGGTGAAAGAGGCGGTGCTGGCAGCAGTCAGAGAGGAGCTGAATGAGCTGCGGAAGATGCTGATTGTTGTGGAGGAGAGGAACGAGGCAACTGCTGCAGTGGTGAAGGAGAGGGAGGGTGAGTTGGCTGCACACAAGCAGTTAACTTCATTGCAGTTGGAGGAAGCTGAGAGGAGACGAGTGGCGGAGATGAGGGACTTGAGAGGGCAGGTGGAGGAGAGGAAGAGGGAGATGGAAGCAGTGAAGGGTGCGATGCTTGAGCATGAGAGAAGGAGAGACTCGGATATCCGAGAGATGAGAGAGAAGCTAATTGCATACCTGGCGGCAGTAAAGGGGGAGCTGGGTGAGGTGAAGGAGGAGGTGGGTGAAGTAAATGGGGAGGTGGGTGAAGCAAATGGGGAGGTGGGTGAAGCAAATGGGGAGGTGGGTGAAGCAAATGGGGAGGTGGGTGAAGCAAATGGGGAGGTGGGTGAAGCAAATGGGGAGGTGGGTGAAGCAAATGGGCAGGTGGGTGAAGCAAATGGGGAGGTGGGTGAAGCAAATGGGGAGGTGGGTGAAGCAAATGGGCAGGTGGGTGAAGCAAATGGGGAGGTGGGTGAAGCAAATGGGGAGGTGGGTGAAGCAAATGGGGAGGTGGGTGAAGTATATGGGGAGTTGGGTGAAGTAAAGGGGGAGGTGGGTGAAGCAAATGGGGAGGTGGGTGAAGCAAATGGGGAGGTGGGTGAAGTATATGGGGAGTTGGGTGAAGTAAAGGGGGAGGTGGGTGAGCACAAGCAGTCAACTACATTGCAGTTGGAGGAGGCTGAGAGGAGGCGAGTGGCGGAGATGAGAGGGCAGGTGGAGGAGAGGGAGAGGGAGCTGGCAGCAGTGAAGGGGGAGTTGGCTGAGAAGAAGGATGCTCTCATGAGGATGGATGAGATGAGAGCGGAGTTGCTTAGGGAGAGGGTGGAGAGGGTGAAATTGGCAGCTAGGAATTCGATGATTGCGGAGCAGTGGATCAGCCGCAGTGAAGGTCATCAAAAGACTGCATGGGAGGTGAGTGTTGAGAGTGCATTAGGTGTTAGACAGTGCATGCATTGTTTGAAAGGGCAGTAGTTGTTTTGTGATTGTCATGATTGGCATTCCTTTTCTTGTCAATCTTTCCCTCTTCATCGATCACTCCACCAGCGAATCAAGTCAGCATCACAAGGAACTGATCTGAACCTGAGTGAACTCACCGGGCTCTCAGACGCCATCCTCGCCCATGTGTCCACGATGACCCATCTAAAGAGCATTAATTTGTCCTCTAGCTCAGGCTTCAGTGCAGAGGGCATCAAGCACCTCTACAGGCTGCCACGGCTGGAGAAGCTTAGCTTCCACAACACGGAAGTATTAGACGATGCCTTGGAAGGCATTGGGTTCTTAACCAATCTCGAACAACTGTATTTCGTGAGGAGCAAGGTGACCGATGCAGGTTTGGCGCACTTGACAGCTCTGTCCTCTCTCAAATGGCTGTGGCTTGCTGACTGCAAGGGTGTGACAAATGCTGGCATGGTGCATGTGGGGAAGCTGACGAGGCTTGAGAACCTTCATCTGAATGGCACGGCAGTCACAAATGATGGGCTGCAGCAGCTGGGTGCCCTGACCAAGCTGAAAACACTTTGGCTGCCATAAAGGATTTGGCCCCTTGGTAAAGATGAATTACGCAGGCAGATAGGCAGGCAGGGTGGCAGGGACTGACGATGGGAAGGCAGGTGAGGTGAGGGGGAGTTGACTGTGACTATCTAGGGGAGACGGGGAAGGGGCGTGGAGGCAAGGGGTGTGTGTTAAGTATGAGGGGATGCTGTTGAGATACTAGCACAAGTTGTAGTTAGGTTTAGGGCCTAGGCTTAGTAGCCTAGGCCACGGGGGGAGAGGAAGTTTGTGCCAAGAGAGAAAGTCGAGAATAGGAATGATGTAATATGAGAAGCAAGTACAAGTTATAGTTCAGGAAGGGTGCACCACCAAGCAAGAACAAATGTATGACTACACTACAGCTAGAACTACATGCAGTTATATATAATTCTGACATCCCCCCGTAACTGCATGCAGGAATAGCTAAGTGAAAGACACTGCGGAGATAACTCTAGTAACGGGAGCTAGACTACGGGCTAGGCACGGATGCTCGTGTGATCTCTGCGTTCGTTGGTCCTTAGTCGTTTTCCTAGTGCACACACTGCTTGCTAGTTCACAAGGCAATTTGGCAAGAGTTTCACTAGAGAAAGTTGACAACAATAATACAAAGAAGTTGGCAAGGCAAGACTACATCAGAGCTAGCATGCAAGCAGATCGACTGCCAGCGCAGCACGGTCGACCGCGTGCCAGCACGACTTGGTCGACTGCGCTCCAGCAGTGCAGAGACGCGGCTTGCCAACGCTGCAGGTCGACGGCATGACAACGTTGCTCATGCAGTCCAGCAGCGCACCAGCTTCGCAGGTGCTCGTAGGCGATTGGCGCGCACTGCTTCGTCACCTGCACAGCGCACACACCAAGTCCACCTCGTGCTGACGACCGCACCTCATCCGCCAGGTCGACCTCGGGATACCACCACCGAGGTCGTCCTCGCCAACTTCGCCTGAGCGACCTTCGCGTGCCTTCGCAGACCCTCGTCACCCAGGTAACCTGGTCGACCAGGCAACCAGGTCGACCAGCCGTTCCCGTGCGTGCCCGTCGACCTCCCAAGTCGACGACCACTTTCGGTCGACCTCCCCAGGTCGACCACTGCCTCTGGTATGTGCCGGTCGACCTCCCAAGTCGACGGCTACCTCCAGTCGACCTCCCCAGGTCGACCACTACTCCCTGGTCGACCAGATCTAGGTCGACGTCACTCCTGGTCGACTTCCCAGGTCGACCAGCCAAAGGTGGCGCCCTCCTGAAGTCGGCGCCCATGCAGTGGCTCCCCGTGCAGGTCGACCAACCTCGTCGACCAACTCGCCCACTGCTGCAGGTCGGCTGCACCCTACACCCGACCACGAAGTCGGCTCCGCCCAAGCGAGGACGGGGCCAACACCCAACTCCCGTTGACACTCCCCTGCCGCGTTCACGCTTGGGCCCCCCAGCCCACACGGCAGCACCTCTCGGAGAACAGCTCGTCGACGTGCACCCAACACACAGCACGTCGTCCACCGCACCAGCCATGCAGGAGGGCATGGCACCTACTGCTGCACGTCGTCGTCGCCGCCGCCCACGTCGGCCAGACGCACTTGGCCGATGGCGACGGAGCACCAGTTGAAGGCCGGATAGTGCAGCGCCTTTGTGAGGAAGTCGGCCGGCTGCTCAGCGGTCAAGATGTACTGCAGCCCAAACTTCCCCCGTTTCACCATGTGCTGCAGCCAGGCCTGTCGCCGCTCCATGTGCTTGAGGTTGCCCGTCAACCCCATGCCCTCGGCGACTGTGATGGCCGACTTGTTGTCCACCCTCAGGACCGTCGGCTTCCCAGCATCCAACTGTTGGAACTCTGCGAGGAGGAAGCGAAGTCGGCGTCCCTCCTTGCCGGCTTCGACGGCCGCCACGTACTCCGACTCGGTCGACGACAGTGTCGCGCACTTGATGCGCTGGCTCGACCAGGAGACCGCGGCCCCTCCGTAGACGAACACGTAGCCGCCCGTGCTCGTCCTGCTCTGCTTGTCACCGGCGTCGTCGGCGTCCACGTAGCCGACCAGCTCCAGCGACTCAGGTCCACCGCCGAACTCCAGGGCGGTGTCACGCGTGTTGGCGAGGTAGGCGAGGCAGCGGTCGACCTCGCGCCAATGCTGGTCGCTCCTCACCGTGAGGCCACTCCCCAGCTTGCTGCAGGCGAAGGCGATGTCCGGCCTCGTCGTCGTCGCCGCGAACTGCAGCGAGCCGACCTTCTGCCGGTACTCCTCCTCCTGTCGCTCCTGCGCCTCCTCGTCGTTGAAGGTGAGCTCGGCGTAGGCGTCGACCGAGACCGGCGTCTTCGGAGTCCGTCCGCCCTGCTCCTCGTCGATGAAGCGCCTACGCAGCTTGTCGGCGTAGCCCTGCTGGTGCAGCCACAGCTTCCCCGCCGACCTGTCGCGCACGATCTCCAGCCCGAGGTACTTCTGCACCGGCGAGATCTCGCGCAGCTCGAAGGCGGCCTCCAGCAGCTCCTTCAGCTCCTTCAGCATCTCGGGGCTGCTGCTGGCGGCGAGCAGGTCGTCGACGTAGACCAGCACCCAGCAAGTCGCTCCGTCGTCGCCGACCTTGAAGTAGAGGGCCTCGTCGACCTGGCTCTTCTTCCACCCAGCGCCGACCAGCACGTCGTTGAGCGCCAAGTACCACAGCAGCGGCGACTGCTTCAGCCCGTACAGGCTCTTCAGCAGCTTGCACACCCGGCCGGTTCCGTCGTTGAAGTAGTCCGAATGCGACATGTACAGCACCCGGTCGAGCTTGCTCTGTAGGAAGGCGTTCTTCATGTCGAGCTGCATCAAGTTGAGGTTGAGCACGGCGACGATGCTGAGGAAGATCCTCAGCGTCACGTAGCTCCCCACCGGCGCGAACGTCTCGTCGTAGTCGGCGCCGTACACCTGCGTGAAGCCCTTCACGACCAGCCTCGCCTTTTCGCGCTCGACGGTGTCGTCGATGTTGTACTTCGTCGTCAGCACCCACCGGTTCTTCATGACATTCACTCCCGGCGGGCGTTCGACCAGCTCCCACGTGCCCATGGTGAGGGGACTACGGATCTCTTCCTCCATGGCGGCCTTCACTGCTGGACCCTTCCAGCTCGCCAGCGCCTCCTTCACCGTCATCGTCGAGATGTCCCAGCGGTGCTCGGGGTCGGCCAGCATGTCGGGGTCGAGCTCTGGAAACTCCTCGTCCTCATCAGCGTCGTCGTACAGCAGGTCGTCGTCGTCCTCCACGTCGTACACCGTGGTGAAGGCAGCGGGAATGAAGAAGTCGGGCGGCCTTCGAAGTCGACCAGACTTCCGGGGTTCAGGCGGAACCCCCACCTCGTCATGGTCGGTGGACTGGTCGGCCACCTCCTGGTCGACCAGCTCCTCGTCGCCCAACTGCTCCCCTTCATCTTCACTGCCGTCCTCATTGTCCTGCTGCACCTCGGTCGGCGTCCCGACCGACTTCTCCCCTGCGGTCAGCTCCCCTGCCGACTGCCAGGTCGCCGACTGCTCCTTGGTCGGCCTTGCTGCTGCCTGCTCCCCTGTGGGCTTCACCCAAGTCGGCTGCACCTCCTCGACCTGCTCCCCTGTCGACTTCACCCCTAGGTCGACCTGCTGCTCGTCGACTTGCTGCGCGTCCTGTCGGCCACCGGCGATGCCCTTGGTCGGCGCCACAGGCGACGTCCCACTGCTCCCCTCATCGCCGGAGGCCGACGACAGATTCAGCTCACGCCGGTCGACGAGAGGAGAAGCAGGGGAGGGGGAGGAAGGGTGGACGACCTCGGCGTCGTCCTCAGCAAGTTCACCGACCTCGGCGAGCAGAGGGAGCGTTGCCGTCGAGGTATCCGTCGGCGTTTTCATCAGTGTCCGCCCTGACACTGGCCCATGCTCCGACTTCCACTCCTCCAGTGACAGGTCCTCGTAGAACACCACGTCCGACGTGGTGACCACCCGGTTGGCGGCAATGTCGAGGAGCTCCCAGCCCTTGCTCGCCTCCGACACGCCGAGATGAAGGCCCCACTTGGCCTTCGGCTTCAGCTTGCCACCCCGCTGCTGCTCGGGGACGAGGAACTGCGCCATGCAGCCCCACACGCGCGCCAGCGACAAGTCGGGCTTCGTCCCGGTCAGCAGCTGGTACGGCGTCGTCCCCGGCGTCGCCGATCGCTCCAGGCAGTTGCGGATCCAGACGGCCTGCCGCAGGGCGAGGTGCCACCAATGGTGCTGCACGCCCATGTGCAGCAGCATTGTCCTCACCGACTCCACCACCGTCCGCATCTCCCGCTCCGCCATGCCGTTCTGCTGCGGGGTGTACGGGCAGGTCAGGTCGTGGACGATCCCCTTGCCGTCCACGAAGTCGGTGAACGTCTTCCCGAGGAACTCCCCACCTCGGTCCGAGCGCAGCATCAGCACCGACTTCTTCGTCTGCCTCTCCACCAGCACCAGCCACTTCTGGAACTCCAGCAGCACGTCCGACTTCTTGGCGACTGGCCTCACCCACACGAAGCGGGTCTTGCGGTCCTTCAGCAGCAAGAAGTACAGGCTACCGTCCTTGGCAGCCACGCGGAACGGCCCACACAAGTCGATGTGGACGACGGCGAGCACGTCGGCGGCGTCGGAGCCTTGGTCGGGGAAGGTGTGCCGCGCCAGCTTCCCGCCGACGCACGAGACACACGGTGGGTCGGCGCCCGTCGCCGACTTGAGGTCTAGCCCAATGGCGACCTCGTTCTTCGCCGAGCTCCTGATGGTGTCCATGCCGACGTGCGCAAGCCGAGCATGCATCCTGTCCGGCGTCGACTTCGTCTTGGAGGCGATGGCCCGCAGGGCCACGACATCCGGCATGGGCGACGTCGACCTCGTTGAGCAGGGACGCAGGTCGGTGCAAAGGACTCGCCCGGAGTACGTCGCCCGACCAAGCACCTCTCCTGCTGCCGAAACGAGCAGCATCCCGTCGCCGTCCTCCTGAAACTTCACGCCGTGCTCCTTCAACTGGCCAGACGACAACAGGTTCGCCCGCACACCCGG